TAACGGTAGTTCGGACTAGGAAGCCTAGTCCGAACTACCTAGTCTGTGCCGTGTGTAGCTGCGCGGCACGTAGTCCGCACTAGCGGACATTTAAAAATGGTGGCGCCCGGCTTTATGCAAATGAAGCCCGGGAAATTCAAATCCTGGGCTTCATTTGCAACTCCGGTTGCCTACATTACCACCCTAGTTCGAACTAGGGTGGTAGTGTAGACATACCCTCAGAGAGGTAGGCAAGCAAGCAGCAGAAGCTAAGAAACGGCTGTCCAGGGGAGACCCTTTAAGCTCGAGCCTCAGCTAGCATTAGGCAACAGCACCCAGAAGCAATTGCTGACCTAATGCCCTGCCTGAAGTGCTTCCGGGTGGCCTTAAATGCAAGATAGCATCCAGTCAGTGTGGGCACCATCTTTCGAAATACCACATCGCTTTTTTGTTGCGCTTTTGCTGTGTGGACGCTCTTTCAAAATAAGCTTTTCCGGAAGATCTCTTCTGGAAAAGCTTATTCTGAAAGAAGCTTGCAGTCTAGACGTAGCCTTTGCGGTACAATTAAATCTGTGAGTATAGTAGAAGATTGCCCCATCTGGGGCACCTGTTTCACTGTAGCTCTTTCTGACAGTATTATACCTTCTATTCTCTTTTCCAGTAGATTGAATAAGACACCTGTGACCCTTTTGTAGCAAAATCCCAAACTGATTTCATTTTGTTTTCATTACTGATCATGAAAATGACTGCTAAAATGGATCAGTGAGCTTCATAAATTAGGCTCAAGCACCATTTGTATCAGATTAATGGCTGCTGAACTTCTCCATTGTCAGCGTTGGTTTATACTCTACCTAACAAATACTTCAACAAATAGCAAACAGTGCAAAATCAAATGTTGTAGCTATAATCACAGCATGTTCAACTGTTAAGTATTCAAAAACTAGGACCTCAAAATTCTTGAGGTCTTTAAGACGATAATCTTTGGGTTCTTTTATTTTGCCTTTTAGTTTTTGAGCCTTTAGGGCTCACATGGTTTAAACTGTTATTTGCAATTAGGATGTTTATTTTTTATTAAATCAAATGACTTCAATTACTTTAAGAAAAATGCCAAATATCAGAAGGGTTGGAAACTACACCATTCCTCTAATTCAAGGGTGAGGTGGTGAAATTGCAATATTCGGCATGAAAGAAATTCTTACCTGATGCTCCAGTTATGTCCATTGCCTTTAAATTCCTAGCCTTTATTATGGTAATAGTTAATCTACCAGCTGTTGGAAGGTAGCAGAGTGAGAACATCAAGTCACCAAGATCCACATTGTCCTGTTAAAAAAAAAAAGTTTGTGAAGCAATAATAAAACAGTCCCTCTCTTTCTCTGCCTAGACAGGCACACAGTGACATACAATAAAGTATTTGTTTTCAGGAGCTCAGGCTATTCCAGAGAAAGCTTAATTCTCACTTGTAAAGCAGCTGTTGGAAGGTAGCAGAGTGAGAACATCAAGTCACCAAGATCCACATTGTCCTGTTAAAAAAAAAAAGTTTGTGAAGCAATAATAAAACAGTCCCTCTCTTTCTCTGCCTAGACAGGCACACAGTGACATACAATAAAGTATTTGTTTTCAGGAGCTCAGGCTATTCCAGAGAAAGCTTAATTCTCACTTGTAAAGCACT